GTCCGCCCGAACCGGCGGCGGAAATACCCGAACGGCGCGCCGGAAATACCCGAAGGCGAGGGCGGAAAGTGCCGAGCGCCGACGGAAAACAGCTGGGAGAGCCGCGCTCGGCAGCGCCGCCGTGGCGGAGATGGCCGAGCCGGGCCGGAGATGGCCGAGCCTGGACGATGATGGCCGAGCCGGGGCGGAACCGCCCGAGTCCGGGCGGTGGTACCCGAGTGATAACGGAAATGGCCGAGCGTGAGGGGGTCGCTGAACACACGGCGGGGCCGGGGGCTCGTCCCTCAGAGCCCCTTTGTGCCCACGGGATGGAGAAACTTGCACTTTGTGCCCCAAAACGGGCTCGGGGGGTCCCCGGGTCTGTCGGCAGCCCCCGCGTCCCTCGCGGTGCTGGTCCCAGGGCTCCCTCCTGCCATCGCTGGTGTGTCCTGAGCCATCTCGGCCCTGTCCCCGGTCCCAGGGTTGGAGCCGGCACTGCCCAGGTCCTGTTCTGAGGGGTTCTGAGCGGGGTTCGGCCACCATATCACTGAGGTTGGAAAAGATCTCAGGGATCATCGAGCCCACCCTGTGCCCCATCCCCACCTTGTCCCCCAGCCCAGAGCACTGAGTGCCACGGCCAGGCCTGCCTTGGACACCTCCAGGGCTGGGGCACTCCAAACCTCCCTGGGCAGCCCCTGCCAATGTTTAATCACCTTTTCCAGAGAGAAATTCCTCCTGATGTCCAACCTGCCCCTCCCCTGGCCCAGCCGGAGGCCGTTCCCTCTCCTCCTGTCCCTGTTCCCTGGGAGCAGAGCCCAAAACCCCCCCCCAGCTCCCCCCTCCTGTCAGGGATTGCAGAGCCAGAAGGTCCCCCCTGAGCCTCCTTTTCTCCAGGCTGAGCCCCCCCAGCTCCCTCAGCCCCTCCTGCTGCTCTAGCCCCTTCCCTGGACACGCTCCAGCCTCGTATCCAGAAGTAAAACACACAGATTGGGCTATGGGGACAAAGGGCTTGATTTTCCAGTGACGATTTGGTTTGAAGGTGCCACGGGATAAAGATGCACAGCTAAGCCTCGAGTTATTAAAAATACCAAGCCCTACCCATAGCCACCTGCGAGCAGCAGAGGCCTTCCTTCTCCAAATCCTTCCGTGGGCTCCCTGAAACACAATCAGCCACAACACCGCCCTCACACACACCTACACACGGACTCTGTGCTCCCTCCTGCTCTTCCCAGTGCACTCAGCTGCCTGAAGGCTGGATCCTGACGTGCAGCTGAACACCCATGAGCAGGGGCTGTATCTTTATATGAGAATAAAAGCCGTGTGTGGAGCAGGGGGGGGGCTCGCCTGGCCTCTTTCCCCTCTGAAGGGTGTCGTTGTGTTAGTTATCAGCAGCCAATCTGCAGGTGTTTGCTTTCAGGGTGTGAGCGGGCAGAGCTTTCTTCTGTCACCTGGGATGGACACCTGGCCCAGTGTCAGCTTGACCCGAGTCATTCTGCCAGACACAGTGAAGTGTCACCTCCCCTGCAGGCCTTTGGTGACGACGATGATGACGATGATGATGACGATGACGATGATGATGTGTGTGTGTGTGTATGTGGTCTGGGGCTCTGAGGAGCCTTTCAAGGAGATCAGTTCCTGTTCATCGTCCTCCCCCTGATCTCCTGCACTGCTGATAACTCCTGGGGATGAAAGTTGGCTCCGTCTGTCTCTCCCATTCCACGGGGCACAGAACTCCTGACACCCAGACCTTCTTTGGTATGAGAGTCTGGCTTATCACAGCCTGAGGAGATACAGGCTCTCCTGAGGGTGGGGGTTCCTTCTGCCTCTCCTCAGAACTCCCTGCATGCTGTAAAGCATCCAGACTGTAAAAGGGCAGTGTTTGCTGTTGTCTTTGGAGATCTGGATTTGCAGAGGCTCCTCCAGTGCAGCTCTGCCTGTGGGATCACTCACTGGCGCCCACAGAAGCTTTTACAAATGTCTGTGGGACTAAAACCACTCACTCTGTGGAATCCTCAGCTTCTCCAGAAGAGGAGAGGAGCAGCTTTTTCCAGGGGGACCCATTTAGAGGTGCATCGATCCAACCTGCTTTGCTACAAACCGGCTCTGCTTCACCCTAAACAGACAGAGCAGGTGCCCAAAGTGAAGCATGGAAGGCTCTCACCCCGAGGGTGCCTCAGGGGCTGGATTTTTCAGGTGGAAAACTATGTTTTCCTGCAGTCCTGTCATCTCCCACCGCTCCCTTTCTGCCTGCCTCTTCGCACTTTGGTTTTAATTTAGTGTCACTGCTGTCAGCTCGGGGGGAGCTGGAGGTGGTAAATACAAAGGGGTTAAACACAAAACCTGTACCTGCATAAGGGGAGTGAAAGTGCAGCCTTTGGGCTTGCCAGGGCAGGGATATCATGGATCTAGCAGGGATATCACGGATCTAGCAGGGATATCATGGATCTAGCAGGGATATCATGGATCTAGCAGGGATATCATGGTCACAGCAGGGATATCACAGCTCCAGAGCTCCCAGTCCTTGCTGTGGGTTTCCTCAGGCCTCCCCCCCGCTCACTCCTCTCCCCCACAGCACATTCCTCTGCAGGAGTCGATGGCACAGCAGTGACAAGGACAAACGTGACCCCAGAGAGAGCAGGGTCCCCTCTCGCCCCGTCCCCACCGTCCTTTAAGAGGTTAAAACACTCCACAGCACATGGAAGGCACAAGGTGCCCACATCCTGCCCGATGGGAGCTGCAGGAGCAGCACGGAGAGGAGCTCCAATCTAATCTCGCATCTATAAACAGCTTATGTTGCTTTTTATGAGCAGTTGAATCCAGCAGAGGGAATTGAAAGCAGCTGCTGCTCGGGGACTGCGCAGGAACGAGCGAGTGGCGGCTGAAGCCGAGCCCCCAGACAGCTCCTGGCTGCTGGAGAGGAACCGTCCAGGGAGAGGAACCATCCTGCCTGGGCTCCATCCCAGGCAAGTCACCATCACCACCTGCACCTCAGGGACCGCTCACCCCGTGCCATGAGGGTGGAGGTGGCACCTGGCCCAGAAATACCTGTTCTTTCCCCGTTTTCCTTCTCCCTTGCTGATTCACCAAGCCTCAACTTCCGGGAAACCTTCAAAACAGATGAAGGAATGGTTTTGATGTTCTATCTGATGTTTTGGGGTTTTTCTGACCCACATCAAGGGTGGGGTGATGACCCTCACCCCCAAGTCTGAGCACATTCCCTGCCTTTCTCCCCCCTCTCCATGGGAATATCCTGTTACCCCCTCGAGCAAAGGGGTCTCCTCCGGCCACCGCGTCGATGAGTTGCCCGGAGCCAAAGCAGACAAAGCACGCCAGGGGAGGAAGGACTTCATTTAATGAGCCAGAAAAACTGAAAACAATAACTTAAGGTTTCAAAGCAGGTGGCAGATGGCTTGGGCACACACACACACACACACGGAGAACAAGGAGTGGTGGCTCACGTGGAGCGTCACGAGGAGGAGGACACGGATGGAGGGATCTCGCTCGTGGTGGTGCTCGTGGTGGCTCCAAACATTCCCAAGAGCCTGGCAGACAAGCAGGAGAGGGCCCAATGCAGTGGGTCTGTGTGAGGGAGTGCTCTCCTCCCCAGATAAACCCAAAATGTCAATGGCTGTCATTCCATACCAGTAAAAAAAAAAAATGGGGTTTTATGCAAATAGTTTGGTGAAGGATTAAATCTCCCGGCAGCAGCGTTTGCCACCCAACCACCTCTGTGGCTGAGCTGATGAGCAGGAACCAGAGAGAAATGGATTAGAAAGAAAATAAAAAGGATGCTGAACATTCCAAGTTCAGACTTCTGTCTGTGTCCATTTTAATCTTCTGATGTTTAAAGAGATTTGGGGGGCGGGGAGAGATTTTTAAATGTTTAATTTGTGTATTTAGTAGTACCTGAAGGTCATTTTTATGCCTCATTCTTTTTTTTTTTTTTTTTCTGCTGCTTCACACAGCTGAGGGGAGGAGAAAATTTAAGGAAAGTAAATAGATAACAAACCATAAGAAATTGGGGGGGGGAGGGGAAAGGGGGGCCTGGGACCAGCCAGCAATTTGGATTTTCCTTAAAATTGAATAGATTTCAGAGGGATAATTCACCCTAAAAAGAAACCTGTTTTCCCTAAGGCAGACTTATAACTGGCAGGAGTTACAAACGAGCCTCCTTCTCATCAGCACAGCTTTTGGTGCCTGCAGAGCTGGGGTTGTTCCACTGCAGCTTTGGGGTTTGGGTCATCTCTGCCCCTGCCTGTTCCGTGCAGGAGCTCCAATTTCCAAGGAGTGAGACCCCAGGAACTCACCTTTCAGCCAGACATGATGTGCTTGACAAAAGCTGAGGAGAAAGGAGAGTGTGAGAGGTCAGGGAATGGTGGGAGCTGGGGGTGCAGCAGGAGGGACCCCCAGCTGGGACACCCCAAGGATGATGCCAGGATTGATATTCCTCCTTCTCTTCCCATTTTTTGCCTGCCACCCCCAGCCTGGTCAGAGGGACAGATGAGCTGGTAGAATTATCCCCAGTTGTCTGAGGCCAAGGGAAATGGATCCCTTCTTTTCATCAACACCTTCCAATTTTAGTGGTTCCCAGATTTAACCCCCCCCCCCCATTCCAGATTTTCACCCTCTTGGAGCCGTGAGCCATCCAGGTCTCCAAATGTTCCCACTTAGCCTCTGCTGGGAAAGGTGCTGGCTTTGTTTATTTTTGAGAGCTTACAACAAAACAGTGCCAAAACCAGGGATAAAACAGCCCTGAAACCCTTGGAAACCTGCTGGCTTCAGCTGCTTTTCCTGGAAATCCCTGGCACAACCACCTTGTTCCCACCCCAGTTGGTTTGTCTCGGTGCTCTTTTAGGAAGGGTCATCCACACCTCCCTCCTAGGGATCAGCAATGTCACAGAACCATGGAATCATTCAGGCTGGAAAAGACTTCTAAGATCATTGAGTCCCACCAAGATTTTTCATCCCAAGACAAGACAGCCGTGTCTGAGATGGCCCCGGTGGGAATCTCTCACTCTCACCTTCATAGTTGATGCAGCCATTGGCATCTTCCTGCCCTGCCATCAGCTGTTCCACCTCGCTCTCCGTCATCTTCTCCCCTGCCAGAGGAGGATGGGGAGGGGTGAGGGGAAGGGTTCTGAGCCTGCCAGGACCTTCCTGTCCTTATCCCAGAGAGCCAAAACCACCAGAGGAAAGGAACCAAGGGGATTAGAGGGGAGCTGTGTGCCCACAGAGATCGTGGGGAGAGCATCAAGTCGTCTGATAACTTGAGGATGGTCTGGACTCTCCACCTGCCCCGGGTCACGCCTGAAGCTGCGGCATGAGAAGAGGCCACGTAGTGAGAAGGGTCTCTGTGACACGAGCCCAGCCCCTTGCCCAGGGTGGTGGCCCTTGCCCAGGGTGGTGGCCCTTGCCCAGGGTGGTGCCCCTTGCCCTGCTGCCCGTACCCAGCCCGTACCCAGCGTGACCAGCACGTGGCGCAGCTCTGCCCCCATCACCATCCCGTTGCCCTCCTTGTCGAACACCCTCAGCCCCTCCACGAAGTCCTCGAAGGTGCCCTGCTCCTTGTTGCGGGTGAAGTGCTGCAGGATGGGCAGGAAGGTCTCGAAGTCCAGCGTCTTGGTGTTCATTTCTGGAAGGGAAGGTGGGGTCGGGGGTACATTTTATGTCACGGGATGTCCCGAGCGGGAAGGGACCCTCGAGGATCGTCGAGTCCGACTCGGATGTGGATGTGGATCAAAGCCCCAGGCTCTGGGGCTGAACTCAGAGCCTCTGAGGGCCTCCTACTTAACCCTCCCGGGCTCTTTTCCATCAGAGGGCAGGGGAGAAGCCCCAGGAGGAGATGGGACTGTTCTATTACGCTTGAGATTGGAAGATCCATATGAGGAATCAGGGATTAACATCAGGAGGCTGCACAGACACCCCTGATATCAGCCCAAAAATTAAAGCAGCAGGTGGGTCCTCCGGCCCCAGGTCTATGTACTGGTACTGGTCAGGTCACACCAGTTTGTACCAGTTCAGGTATGGAGCATCATTTGCCACCATCCCTGGGCGAGCACCGCCTATCCCTTCTGTCAGCCGCGGTCTGGAGAAGGGGAGTGAAGGAATTATCCAGGAATGAAGCCTGTCTGCATAACTTCCCTCGCCATTCCTTCACCTTGCCGGGTCGTTCCTACAGCGATCATACCCTCTGCTGGCAGCCAGGGAGCTCAGGGATTGCTTTATCCCACCCTGCCCCCCGCTTTGCTCGTCACCTTCTGGTTTGGGCTTGCCCAGCACCTTCAGGACCTCGGCGTTGGTGGGGTTGTGGCCGAGCGCCCTCAGCACGTCCCCGCACTGCCCGTAGCTGATCTGCATCGTCCCCGCCGCCGTCCGGTCAAACAGCCCGAAGGCTTCTCTGAACTCTGCGGGGAGGAATCGCTCGGATGGCCCCGGCCGTGCCCGCCCCATCTCCCGCCCCAGCGAAGCGGGGGACACGCGTGTGTGTGGGTGGGGTGGGTGCCCTCTGAACGCTGTGTGGGCTTGGAGAAGTCCGGTTTTGTCACCCGTGACCTGCTGGATCCCTGCAGCAGCACATCCCCGCTCATCCCCCTTTTCCCCCGGGATCCCCCCTCTCTGGGGCTGTCCCTACATCGCCAGGGGCTGCTCCTCCCACCAGAACCCCCGACTTTGACCCAGGGGCTGCATCTCGCCCCGTGAATGAAAAATTCCCTTTCCCTGCCAGGCTCTGGATCCCGCTGGGCTTTCCCCCCCCCCCCCCCGGGAGGGGATTTGATGTGCGGGGGCCTCGGCTCTCATGTCTACGGTCGGAAAACTACCTGGAAAAAGGGATTGCCCGTTTCTAAGGGAGAAACTGAGCTCGGCACTTACCTTCGATCTGCTCTGCTGTGAATTCAATCTGCGAAGAGAAGGGGACAGAGCTGGGCATGAGGGGTGTGTTACTGCCCGGGGGAACGAAGGGGCTCTCCCATCCCTTTGGATCTCCCCCTCCCCAGGCTGGGGGCGGGAGCCGTATCCATGCCCAGATCCCCGTGGAAAGCACAGCCAGCAGCAGAGCAGGGATGCTCAGACCACATTTTTGAGTGGAAAGGATGTTTATTTTAAGGCCTGATCCCCAGCTCAAGTGATTAAACAGCCCCCGTGCTGAGCCTGCTCCTAATGGCTCTCCTGCCACAGCTCCGGCTCAAAAATGTGACTATCCCGGGGAATCACGGAAAAAAAACGAGATCCCGTTGTGGAGTCTGGGATAAAAGAGGCTCTTTTATGTGGAGGAGGCAACACAGGCAACGAAATACTTCAGGACGCAGACGGTGGGTGGCAGGGAAGGGTTTTATCGCTGCTGGGGCCCCGACACGGAGGCTCAGCGGGAGCTGTGGGGGTTCCGCTGCACACCGGGAGCTCTGGGCTGGGTGGCGAAGAATAAAACATCTCCCCCCCCCGCCCCCCCAAAGTGAGGAGAGCATCGCTCCCAGCCTGCTGCATCCACACGGTCCGGCAGCTTTCCCCTCCCAAGCCTGGCTCCCAGCCTGGCTGATGCCTTTTGTGCGGCGCTTCGCATCGCCCGCGCCTGGCAGATGACGGGCACGGAGGGAGACGGGTGACGTCTTCGTTCCTCACTCACCTTCACGCTCTTGGGATCGAAGGCGGGCTCCCGGGATGGCTCCGAGCCCGCTTTGGCCGATTCCTTCTTGGGGTCGGGTTTCTTGAGCGGCATCGCCGGGATTTGTGGAGGTGCGGGGGGAACTCCTGGCGCCCGGCGAGGGAAGGGAACGGAGGGATGAAAGGCGAAGGCTGCTCCCTGCCTTATATACGGAGCCCAGTCCTCAGCCCGGAGGGGCAGGCCAGCTGCTGGAGCAACTGCTACTTACTATAAAAGGAAGAAAACTCAAACGAGAGGGGGCCCAATTTGACAATTGCCCATTGTCATCGCCTCCTGGCTCCGAGGAGCCACCCCCACCCCCCCCTCCTCAGCTGCAACAAGGGGGGACGTGTCCCCCTCCAGCACCTGCAGCGGGTGGGCTGCTCGTTAATGACCACTGAAAACCTAAACTCAGACGGCCACGGGGGCCTGGCAAGGAAACAGCAGCGAGATGGTTGATAAACCTGCCGGGATACCCACGGGGAAAGCGTCTCTTTCCAGAGAGGGCTGGGGCTGCAGAGCCCTTTTAAGCCCAGGATTGATGAATTGCTCCTCCAAAGGAGCTCAAAACTCTCTGAATGATCCCCCCAACCCCCCCCTCCCCACCCCGGCCTCGTGCTCAGGGTCTGGTTTGCCCCATTGTCTTCCCAGAGCTGGATTGTGCCCTGGAAAAGGCCACGCTGCAGGTGCTCAGGTACCTCAGGGTGGATGATGAGGTCATGCAAATGATGGCCGAAGCCAGCACTGAATTCACCAGCTCGGGGCCTTTCCCAACCCTGCACCACCCATCCCAAGCGTCCCCAAAACCTGCAGGGCAGATGGGATCCCCTTCTGGCTCCCCTCCAGTCACAGGGCAGGCTCCAGGGGGAGATATTCCTGCTCTCACCCTCCTCTCCCAACTGTTTGGAGACCCATGGAATGGGCAGAAGAACTCATCCCAGGAAACGGGGCTCCAGCCATCCCAAACCATCAACTGAAACGTGGCCAGGTTGTTCCAGGGCACAGGAGGAGGAAAATGCTCTCAGGCTCACGGTGGGATTGCTCAGGTGTCCTGTGCAGGGACTGGAGGATGTTTGTGGGTCCCTTCCAACTCGGGATATTCGGGGAAAACCCATCCCAAGTTTGCACTGGGATCCAAGAGCTGGTGTTGGGAGTGTCCTCTGTGCTGTGGAGGTGCTGCTCAGCCTCGTCTCCCTGAGCAGCACGGGCTTGAGTTGGGCTCAGGGATGGTTGGAAGGCTCTGGGTGGAACAGAATCCTGGGGGATGTTGTTGGTCCTGGTGCCAGAGCTACGAGGTCTCGGTGCTGGCTGGAGCCTGAGCTGTTATATTTTTACATCAACATATATAAACACACTCTATATGTGTGTATTTAAGTGCTGTTTGTTCACAGCTCTAGAAAATGCTGTTATATTTGTATTTTTAGTGGCTCGGTCTTGGCAGGAGCAGACATATCTAATCCTGCTGCTCAGGAGCTGACACAGGGCCTGGAGGGATGGGAATGGGGGTGTCACCAGCTCAGCCCTGTGCTCAGAACTCCCCCCAGTCTCTTCCTCGCTGAATCCAGAGGCCGAGCCATCACCAGCCGGGTTAGGGGGGTCACTCAGGAGGAGGGAGCAGCCACAGATTGCTGGGATTTGCTGCCATCACCTCCTGATTGCTGTAGGGGCTCGGGGAGCTGAGGGGGCTGGATGGGTGTCATTTGCAGTCATTGCTTTCCAGAGCTCTCTAGAATACAACAAGTTCATTTAGCAAAAAAAAAAAAAAAAAAAACCAAAACAACCAGCCTGGTTTTTTTTTTTGCTCAGTGTGAACTCGGAGCCTGGGTCGGGTTTCGCCTGGGAAATCAAGGGAATCAAATTGCCCTTGAGCTGCCTCCCCCTCAGCATTGTCCGACTCCGAAATAACCTCACCCCAACTCCATCCTCCCTCCTCGGCAGCCTCTGGGTCAGAAACGAGACCCAGCAGAGCCTCCGGAAAACGTTCATCCCGCACTTTGGCTGTTCATCCCTCCGTGCCCGAGCAGCATCCTGAAGATCCCGAGCGGTGCCCTGGGCCGTGTCACACCCACGCCGTGGCCGGCCCGTGGCTAAATTGGGCTGGGGGGACGGGCAGCTGCCCGAGATGCCCCTAATCCCTGCTTGGTTTCCACGGCAGGGCTTGTTTTCCCGTCTGAATGGATCAGCAGGAGCAGCAGCCCCTCCCGTGCCCTGTAATTTGGATTTTCCGGGCTCCCTCTGCCGCTGACGCTCTTTCCCCTGCCACGGGAGCCCAGCAGAGCCCTGACCCTCCTCCACGCACCGCAGGGGCTCGTGGTTGGGACCAGGAAAGCCCTAAGGGAGGCTCCGGGGGCTCTGCTGCTCCGTGCGGGATTGTGATGCTTAACACGGATCCCACGGGGCCGAGGGAGAGGCCCGGGCTGGGAGCTGCTCCCCCCGGGGATTTGACACCGGGCTGTGGAATTTCAGCCTCATCCCACCGAGGATGACCTGCCCAGGGAACGAGGACCCCCCCTCTTCGTGCCTCATTTCCCCCGGGGGGGCTGCTGGGGGGGTCGCAAGGTGCAGACGAGCAGTGAGGTCACAGCAGGGACCTGGGGGAGCAGGACTGACACCAGCACATCTCCCCAACACACCCCCCAAGCCCTAGAGAAGGAAAAGGGTTAAAGTGGAGTCTGCCTGGAGGACATCCCATCCCACGAGCATCAGCTCGAGGTGCTGCTCACGTGCTTGCACCCTCTGCCTCCGGCCACCTCCCCGGGATATTCCCCACCTTCCCCGGGCTCCTCGGGACCACTCCTGGGCTGGAGGGGACCGGGGAGTGTGTGGGGGGCAACGGGAGGATGCTGTGACAGCTGAAAAATGAGCCAGCAGGCAGTGAGAGAAGTTTCTGAAAGGAGAAGAGGAATCTGCCTTGAATGAAGAGGATTTTAGCACCTAGGGCTAAGCCAATAAACCTCTGCCATCCCCATCCGAACGGGAATTGTTTGCACACGCTCCAGGAGCTGCTGAAAGCTGGCGAGACACGGAGAGGGAATAGGATCAAGCGCTGCGGGGGGAGAAACCCCCCCCTGCCCGGAGAGCCTGCGAGCAGATCCCGCAAGTGCTGCCAGGGCAGTGCCCACCGGGACAGGGGGCTCCCAGGGACGGGCTGTGCCCCCGCTGCCACCTCACCTCGGCGGGGCCAGGAAGGCGCTCCCAGAGGATGCTCCGTCCTGCTGAACGCACCATCAGCCCTCTCCATCACCCACGGCCTGGGGCTGGCAGCGGTCCCTGAGGTCCCCTGAGGTCGAGTGGCACGGTGGCACCATGGAGGCTTCCTTCCCCGGGGGAGGTGTCACGCTGGCTCTCCTCTGCTGCTGCCTCCTGAGCTCTGCGTGGGCTCTGGTAAGTCCGCGTGGCCCCGTGGGCTGCTCCGGTCCCCTCTGCCGGCTCTGAAGGTGGCTGGTTGTGCCTCCCTCCCCCGTCGGGGCTGGGTGTGCTCCGGGCTGCACGTCCCGCTCCGCGGGGCTGCCGGGCAGGGAGGGGAGGGGAGGGGAGGGCAGAGCATCTCCACTCCCGCTAAAAGCTTTCCAGCAGCCGTGGAAGCACCGTGGAGTGACGGCTCATCCATTTCTTGGACGCAGCCAGGGCAGGGGGCAGCGCCTGGTGGGTGTTGGTGGAACGGAGCGGGTGGTTTACGGTCAGAGCTGGGGGGGTGCACCCAGGGCAGAGCTGGGCACAGCCAGGGGGACTCCCAAAGCCAGGCCCTCACCTTGCTGGGGCACCCCCAGGACCCCAACTCCTCCCCTACACCCCTAACGAGTCTCCCATCCACCCACCCACCCACCCAGAACACGGACAGGGGTCCAGGTCTCCTCTCTGGATCTGGAGTTGGAATTGTTCCCATTGACAGTGGACAGACCAGGCAGAGCAAACCCCCTGCATTCTGGCTCCTTCTCACTCCCAAAACTGTTTCCTCGTCCCAAAGCGTTTC